AAAAAAAAAAAGTATCGGGAAGACAGAGAATAAAGGGAAATGGATATCTTTACACCAATATTTTCAGTCTACATTGTTAAAACTTTATCTTTGAATAGCCAGCAGTAGTCTGGGAACTGAGGTTTGAGAACTACTGCCCTGGGGAATAATCTAGCAGGAGCCTAGAAGAAAGTCCCAAAAGCTAAAGAAAGACAGCCAGAGTGAGCTGGGCCACAGGACATAAGTACTTGTTAAGTCTAAGGGAATTAAATTTGGGGCAATCAAGGACCTAAGTATGTTTTTCATCTCTCTGTACTGCAAGATGGTTCTCCTGTGACTTTTCTCCATCCCTCTGGTGACTCTGGAATTAAAGAGAAGCCAGCTGAACATGCTAGAATTTGGAGTGAAAGTAGAAACACTGTAGGTCACATATCTTGATAGGTTCTTACCTTACTTTTATACTGCAGGAGGAAGGCAGTGAGGCATAGTCTTTCTCCCTGACAAAGAGACCCTGCACAAATCAGAGGGTTGGGGTTTCACTGCAGAGAGTGTACAAACAAAACCTACTTTGAAAAGATCCAGTCAAAAGAGTGTTTATACCTCACATATTCGGGGCGTCAATCCAATAGAAGCCTGGAAAACAAAAGAAAGGAAAGCATTATCATTTATTGGGGGTGATACTCAGCCCCACCCAACACCCAGGACCCATCCTCAGCCTGGAGGATGGGCACATGGGCACCTTTACTTTAGGTGGATTCCATGAGGTATATAGAAGACTCATGTGACAGTGCTCTCAAGACATACCCATGGGGGAAAAGTAAACGCACCAGTTTGGAGGCCTATTATCACCACACGATGGAAAAGAAATGGAGCTAGCAAACCCAGATACCTGCTTTTATGCAATAAAGCTTATGTCACTCTTGGATAAACCACTGTACCGATATGGTTCCTCCTAGACTCCTACACCTCCTATCCCTACACACAGGGGGGCTAGAGAAAATGGGTATTCAAAATACACATTTAGAGAGAGGGGCTTCTTTCTCCATCAGTGCTAACTTGTACTCAAAATAAGGGCTTTATATCTGTGTTTAGGAGGCAATTTCTTCTTTAAATTTCAAATGCTGTGAAAGCACACTAAACACAAACGATAAGCAATGAGCTGGACCCAAAGCAGCAGGGATAACCAGTCAGAAGGAACAGTGTCCTAGAGAATGTTCTCAGCTAGTGTCATTTGCCAATCACCCCAACAGGATACTTCTAAACCTAAGACAGAGGTTTTCTTGAGGAATTCTGCGCTCTTAATTTTCTGTGATAAAGTGATAAATCCTATATACTTTTGAAAGTCCCCAGCCCAGGAACTGGTGCTCCCCCTTCCCTCCAGTGCAAAGATCCAACGTACGCAGGCTTGGAGCTGGGCCATGATAACCTTATCTCTGCACAGCCCCAGTTAGTACTTAAGATCAGTCTAGGTAGGGTGGTGCCTGTGGCTCAAACAGTAGGGCGCCACCCCGATATGGGGGGGAGGGGTGGCAGATTCAAACCTGCTCCAGCCAAAAACTGCAAAAAAAAAATTAAAAAATAAAAGATCAGTCTAGGTCTTGTCCACAAGGTGGTGTTAAAATGCTTCAAGCGATGAACTTGGAAATAATGAGAGAAATTCAGTAAAACTGAGGTCTACTTCATCAAAGGAAGCTTATACAATTCTAGACTTTCCAGGTTTTGATGATGATGGGCTAACTATCCAAAGTTTATCTTTCAATTAAATGTTGAAAAACTTATTCTCAATCCTAAAGAGGGCTTGTTGCGTTGGTTGTATAGTGGTGAGCATAGTGGCCTTCCAAAGAGGGCTTGTTAAATCTTGTTAAAGTTGACTAACTACAGAAATCAATCACATCCATCTCACAGTGGCAAGGACAATGTAAGACTCAGGCATGCTGTGGCATTAGGAAGATAATCTCACTACAATATTAAGTAACACTCAACCGGCTAAGGCGCCAGCCACGTACACCTAAGGTGGCGGGTTCGAATCCCCAGCCCGGACCCGCCAAACAACAATGACGGCTGCAACCAA